CAAACAGTTGTAATCATTTGTATATAATATAACCAAAATTAATTAAATAAATTTTAATTAAATAAAAAAGAATGATTTCCATGATTAATACACACACAAAAAATTTAATAAATTCCCTTGCGGAGGGAATGTGAGGAAGATTCAAAATTAGGTATTATATTTTGTTTTAAGAAAAATTATTAACAACTGGGGGAAACCTACAGTTATTTCTTTCTGAGCTCCAACCCGTTCCGTTTTTATATTCATACCCATCTCCATCTTAATTTGAACAATAAACTGTTCTTTAATAGCGGGCCAACAAGGAGCCGAAACCATCTTCCAATTTCTAGTGTTGCAGTGTTCAGAATATGGATAACTATAGAAGTTTAAGAACCTAAATTGTTTGCATATTTAGTTGTAATAGAAAAAACCTAGGATGAAATTCTAAGAGTTGCACTGGTTGATATTCCCACCAGATGTGCATAAGCACTCCACCCCCTCTGGAATAGACTTCTCCAACATCTGTCTGAGACACTTAATACAAGGTTGTTGTTTTTTTCTTTATTGTTTTCATCAAATAAGATAAGACCTAATTAACACAAAATACTTACACTGAGTTAATTACATCAGATATTTGTAACCGTTTCTAAGATTTCATTACGGACATAGTTAGGAATAGGTTCTTTAACTTGAAAATGTTTTACATTGATGCAGAAGGTGTCTCATTTCTATATCTGGAAGTTCTCATTTAGTTCTGTCTGAGACACTTGGATAGATCTTAGAAAACATACTTGGGACCACATGTCACTTATTTAAAGGTTTATAATGGATTTCTATCAGATTTCAATTTAAATAAGATACTGATTCACTATATTGTACGAAATAAAAGATATGCAATAGCTATTTTAATTTATATTCTTAGGTTGTTAAATACACAAGATATATTAATCACATGAAGACACATTTGTTCACATCAGTTTTGCACTTATTTCTACTTGCTTGTTTGCATGCAATTTGTTACATAGTATTGTGATTGGATGATTTTGCTCATGCACACCTATTTGATACTTTGGAATGACATACCATATATACTCGAGTATAAGACAAGTTTTTTGGCACAATTTTTGTGCTGAAAACCCCCCACTCATCTTATACTCAAGTGAGTGTCTGTATTATGGCAACTTACATTGCCATAATACAGACAAGGACCGCCGGGCTCATTACAAGCCCGGCAGTCCTGTTGGGGGCTGGCAGAGAGCTGGTACTTACCTTTCCTGCAGCTCCTGTCAGCTCCCTTCTCCTCCAGTGTAAGTCTCGCGAGAGCCGCGGGCTAAGAGTGTTGCCACGCATTACTGTGGCAACGCTCTGCGCGGCAGTCACACTGCGAGACTTACAGTGGAGAAGGGAGCTGACCTGAATGCAGGAGAGAGAAGGGAGCTGACAGGAGCTGCAGGAAAGGTAAGTAACATCTCTCTGCCAGCCCCCCTCCTACACAGCCAATGCCACTGGACCACCAGGGAATGAGAGCCCCCCTCCCTGGCCAGCTAACAAGCAGGGAGGGGGGACAAAAATAAATAAATACAAATTTAAATAATATAATAAAAATATTAATAATATTAAAATAAAATAAAAATAATAATAAAAAATGTAATATTAAAATAATAATTAAAAAAATAATAAAAAAAATGCCCACCCCCCACCAAGGTTACACACTCTGCATCACATACACACACACTCTGCATCACATACACACACACACACACTGCATTATATACACACACTGCATTCACACACACACACACACACACTACATTCATACACACATACACACACACACTGCATTATATACACACACTCTGCGTTCATTATATACACAAAATAAATATTCAATTAATATAATTTTTTTGGGATCTAATTTTATTTAGAAATTTACCAGTAGCTGCTGCATTTCCCACCCTAGTCTTATACTCGAGTCAATAAGTTTTCCCAGTTTTTTTGGGTAAAATTAGGGGTCTCGACTTATGTTCGGGTCGACTTATACTCAAGTATATACGGTACCTTATTTATTGCTTGAGAGACACTGTTGGTGTAAAAACATTGAGTTCTCATGAGTGCTGGGGTGTTCCCCTTTTTTATTATGAATTTATAGTCCTGTGGGACCGGGAGGGTACCAACGGCACAGGCAGCCACGATTGGCTTTCTGTATTTGTTCCACATGATTTTATGCTATTTTCAACTAAGAATGGCCAACCAGCAGACAGATTTAAAGGACAAAGAAAAAATGTTACCTGCGCTCTTCCCAAAGCCCTATGCATATGTAAACAAATAGAGGTTATTCAGTCTCTCCAATGGCCTTGAGAGAGTTTAGCCCACCTGCCACGTCAAGGTAAACCTCTCAGGTGGGTCCTACACTGACCTTTCACCTTGCTTTATTGAGCTTCTGGCAAAGATATCTCTAATGAGACAGAAAGGGGTATTTTTATAAACCCCTACATGCTTATTAACCCTTAATAGGGAACACATGGGATGGGCGGCAGCATTGTAACGTAGCTGTGAGATACAAAAGTGAATACAAATACAACAAAATGGGTCCTGCATGGAGACAGGCACCAATACGTTTGCAGAGTCAGTCGATATTCAGGTAGGCACAAATTTGTTCATTGAGACATTGAATATATAAACCAGACTAAATGTTAGCTCTCAACTCCAGTTCTCCCTCCTTTGTCATTGAAAAAGTGTGTGCCATCTTCTATACTCTGTCTCTTCTGCCAGTTCAGTGACGTGAACTATCTCCATCACCCTTGTTGGAGTGCCATGGGGGCTTATTTGTTCTTCCAACAGAGTCTGGCATTGCTGGACTTTTTATGCCTCGTTTGCCATTATATAACCTTGTGAGGCTTCCTTCACCTCTATTTAGTTATTACATTGTTAGTTTCAGATGTGGGATTGTCCGCTGAGCAAGACATGTTGTGTCTCTGTATTAAAAGAGAAAAGAGGCACTGCACTCAAGTCACAGGGTGCTAACTGAGCATGGGTCAGTATATCCCATCAGAACAAGTATGAAAGAAAAAAACTCAGGCACTATGTCTATGTTAAGTCTCAGTTTGTCAGAACTTAGAGACTGAGAGACCTTCAGCCTGTACTTGCAAACATCTGACTTGTAAGCAAAACTTGTTGAAGCATTGCCAACCGAGTTAAACACCTCAGACGTCTGCTAGGCTACACTTTATTTGACAGTCTGCATTCCTGCCTACTAAGTAGCTTTAATGCAGATCAGTTCGCTATCTCTATGGGCAGTCACGTTACTGCATACACTTAACATTTTGAAATTGACATCATATGAATTCAGAATACATGGGAAAAGGTCCAAACAAAATCTCGAATCATTCTACAGCAATGATGTTTGTTCAAATAAGTGGCGTTAAGAACGGAAAGTAGACAGAAAAATCTATCGGTAAAAAAAACTGTAGCTAATCAACAAACAAATCAACTGAACTAAATGGGTCATTTCATTTCTTTTTATTAGTTTATGTCGGATATTATCCTGTTTATCATACAATGCTTGCTGAATATAAACCTGTTGTGGTGTTAACAGGATATGGTTAAGACAGGTTGTATTTTTGTTAAAAGCCTGATAGAGAAAGAGCCACGCTCAATTGGTTTGGTGTCTTCATTTTGGGGTTCCCTTTTACAGGCATCAATTACAGATGTGTCCATTTTGTTATAGAAACATGTCTGTCTTGTTAGGTGTGCATGCTTACTACTTTTTATGCAGTTGTGCATATGTATATTTAACACTGAAATTGTTCTTGTCATAATCGTAGTAGCCTAACGTTTGTGTGTTGCTGGGTACACCATGCAGTTTAAGTATATTATGCGGTCTGGCACAGTATATAACCTGTTATCAGGATGCAAGCTATGAAAGAGGGGCTGTGAACGTTATCTTTTAGCTCCTTTCATCTTGTATTCTGACTAAATTTTAAGGTCTGTGTTCCTTGACTAAGTTGCAAACGTATGTGCTGGGGATGTAGGATATGTCTGTGTGTGCTTGGGATGTAGTGTGTGCCTGTGTGTATGCTGGGGATGTAGCTTGTGTCTGTGTGCACTGCAGTCAATACACTTACCTACACACTGTGTCTGTGTATATGCATGTGTCAGTGATTGTATCTGTTTGTCTATGTTTCTGCATTAGTGGCACTGTTTGTGTCTGTGTCTGTATATCTGCATGTGTATCAGTGTGTCTGTGCAACTGCATGTGTGTCAGTATATGTATCAAAACCTGACACACATGCAGATACTGATGCACGTACAGATGTACAGACACACTGAAAAGTCTGCAGATACAGACATACTACAGACAGATTCACACACTGACACATACACATTACACACATACACTATACACATACAAACACTCATTACATATACAAACACACAGATACACACAATTACACACACATTACACACAGATACATACACACAAACAAACACACAGCTAGACACACATACAAACACACATTAAAAAATTAAGCCACCCAGCAGGTTCTTATCTTGGGAGTTGGGGGGCTTGCTCTCCCAATCCGGCCCCATCATCGCGGCTCCCTCCTCCCGCGCGGCTGTGTCAGTATCTATTCCTCCCAGCTCTCTGTGCAGGATAGAAGGGGTCCAGTCGCGCTGTTAAAGCGCCACAGCGCATGACCTGGCCCCTCATTGCAAATGTCCATCGAGTGGCCCTAAGGGCCACCCGATGGACCCTCACACAGGTTCCCAACCCAAGTGGTGCTGCTGCACTGCCGCCATGGGTTGGTAGCTCCTGTTTTAGATTATGACAGGGGCGGCAAAGTGCCAAAAATTTACCCCATTATTTCCAGGTCCAGCTGCCTAATGCCTGCTCTTGTGAGATAATTACTTGGGATTACTTCCTCCTGGGGCTCTCTGCAGGTCAAGGTTAAATAGGGCCATTGAATGAGGCACCTGTGGCAGGGAAGGGTGCAAAACCAAGGCGTTGGCCTGGACTCTAAAATATAAATAAATTAAACCAAGGATGGCTAGGGCTGCACTCACCTGAACATGGATATATTATAGGGTGCAGCCCTAGCCATCCTTGGTTTAATTTATTGAAATATTTTAGAGTCCATATTTTTTTTTAATTATTATTTTATTGTTTATATAGCGCCATCAGACTCCGTAGCACTGTACAATGGGTGGACTAACAGACGTAATTGTAACCAGACAACTGGATGTACGGGAACAGAGGGGTGGAGGGCCCTGTTCCATGAGCTTACATTCTAGAGGGAGTGGGGTATATTGACAAAAAAGGGTAAAAGTAGGGGTATGAAGTAGGTTGTTAGAAAAGTATTAATTGAGGGCTTAGTAGGTAATTTTTGACAGTTGCAGGAGAGGAGTCATGGAGGGTGGGGTATGAAAACCTGCGAACAGTTTAATTGATATGCTTTCTTGAAGTGAGTTTTCAATGATTTTTTGAATGAGTGGAGACTGGGTGAAATTCTTACGGAGAAGGGAAGGGAGTTCCACAGAAGAGGTGCATTCCTGGAAAAGTCTTGGAGTTGAGAGTTAGAGGTGGGAGTACGGACAGAGGATATACGTAGGTCTTTGGCAGAGCGTATGGGCCTCGACGGGATGTTCTTGTGTATTAGGGAGGATGGGTAGGTTGGAGAAGCATTATGTAGGGACTTGTAAGCAAGCACCAGAATTTTAAATTAAGCCCTATATCTAACTGGAAGCAAATGCAGGGACTGACAGAGCGGGGAGGAGTGAGAGGTGCGGGCGGACAGGAAAATGAGTCTCGCCGCCGCATTCATTATAGATTGCAGAGGTGGAAATCAAAGAGAGGCAGTCAGACACGAGTCAAGACGGGCAGAGAGAGATCAGGAGAGATCAGGAGAGGACTTGGTAGATTTGCGTGTCATCCACATAGAAATGATAACGGAAGCCAAAGGAGCTGATGAGTTTACCAAGGGAGGCAGTGTAGATAGAGAATAGTAGGGGACCAAGGACAGAACGTTGGGTGGAAGAGGTAGAGTCAGAGAAAGAAACACTGAAATAGTGCTGAGAGAGGTAGGAGGAGCACCAGAGGAGAGCAGTATCCTGTACACCAAAACTACGGAGAATGTGAAGATGTTGATGATCAACAGTGTCAAAGGCAGCAGAAAGATCATGGAGAATTAGGATAGAGTAATGGCCACGAGATTTAGCAGCAATTAGATTGTTGGATACTTTGGTCACAGCCATTTTGACAGAATGACCAGCGCGGAATCAAGACTGGAGGGGGTCAAGCAGAGAGTTGGTTTTGAGAAAGTCAGTCAGTCTGGTGTACACAACTCTCTCAAGGATCTTGGAGGCAAATGGCAGTAGCGAGATAGGGCGGTAGTTGGATGGGGAGTTGGGGTCAAGGCTGGGCTTTTTCAGAATTGGGGTTACAGTTGCATATGTGAAGGGTGAGGGAAATGTGCCAGAGGAAAGGGAGAGATTGAAAATGTTAGTGAGGGGAAGAGCAAGAGAGGGAGACATAGTGCGGATGAGATATGAAGGAATAGGATCGAGGGAACAGGTGGTGGGGCGGGAGGACCGGAGCAGAGCAGAAACCTCTTCTGCTCTAGCAGGTGTGAATAAGTGTAGAGTGGTGGAGGGAGTGGGGTTGAGTGATGTAATGGTAGGGGAAGGAGAGAAATTAGCGATCTCTTCTCTGATTCTCTCAGTGAAGTGAGATGCAAAGTTTGTGGCGGACACGGTGGTAGAAGGAGGGTATTAAAAGGGCGAAGAAGAGCATCAAAAGTGTGAAATAGTTGTTTGGGTTGATGGTACAGTGTACTTATGAGGGTATTAAAGGACCACTATAGTGCCAGGAAAACATACTCGTTTTCCTGGCACTATAGTGCCCTTAGGGTGCCCCCACCCTCAGGGTCCCACTCCCGCCTGGCTCTGGAAGGGGGAAAGGGGTTTAAACTTACCTTTTTCCAGCGCTGGGCGGAGAGCTCTCCTCCTTCTCTCCTCCTCTGTTCCGCCGGCTGAATGCGCACGCGCAGCAGGAGCTGCGCGCGAATTCAGCCGGTCGCATAGGAAAGCATTTACAATGCTTTCCTATGGACGCTGGCGTGCTCTCACTGTGAAAATCACAGTGAGAAGCACGCAAGCGCCTCTAGTGGTTGTCAATGAGACAGCCACTAGAGGCTTTGGGGGAAGGCTTAACCCATTAATAAACATAGCAGTTTCTATGAAACTGCTATGTTTATAAAAAAATGGGTTAACCCTAGAAGGACCTGGCACCCAGACCACTTCATTAAGCTGAAGTGGTCTGGGTGCCTAGAGTGGTCCTTTAAAGTAATGTACTTTTGCAGCAGAGAGAGCCAGGCTGTAGGAGCGCAGCATAAATTTATGGTAGAGGAAGTCAGATGCAAAGTGAGACTTTCTCCAGCAGCGTTCAGCAGTTTTAGAACATTTTTGTAGGTAACGGGTCAGTTTGGTGTGCCAGGGTTGTAGTTGGGGGTTCTTGCTGTGTTTAATTGTAGGAGGTGCCATGATGTCGAGTTGAGAGGAGAGAGTTGAGTTGTAGAGTGAGGTAGCTGAGTTAGGGCAAGTTAGATTTGAGATGGGTAAGAAGAGAGTATTGAGTTTGGTGGAGAACTGCTGGAGATCAAGGCAGTTGAGGTTTCTGCGAGATTGGAGAGTTGAGGGTGGTGAAATTTTGGTATGGGGTATGTTGATGTCAAAAGTTAGATAGTGGTTAGACAAAGGAAATGGAACAGTGTGAGTGTTTCCTGCTGTATGAGTTGCTGAAGTCGACAACTGTGTATATATATATTTATTTATTACACACACATACAGTCATTTTTATTTTTTTAATAATTAAGGTGTTGTCCAGGTGGTTTGATTCTGTGCCCTAGGCAGTAACTTGAATTAAGTATTGTTGATTCTGTCTCTGCTTGTGCATTCAGTCGAGACATAATGCTTGTATTCAATGTGTGTTTTCAGAACAAATGTACATATAAAGTTGCTGTGAAGATTTTTTTTTTTTAATTCTACAATTTAGCCTTTGAAGTTTTAGACAAATAGACAATTTCGATTTAGGCATACATTGTTCCACACGAGAATTGGGATGTGATGCTATAAAAGCTCTTTATCAAAATAAGTATTTTTTTTTTTTTTTTTGCTGTAAAATACCTTTCCATTTTCAACTTCAACAAAAAAGATCTGCCTCCCTGTTGTGCTTTGTACTTTGACTAGTGCTTTGCTAATGAGTTAAATGAGACCCCAAAGACACAGAAAGTAGCTTTTTAAAATTTTACTGCATTGTTTTATAAAAAGTTATACGTTCATTATATCAGTTTGATTTATAATTTTCTCTGTTTGCCGTCGGGAACTGGCACGTTTGACTCTGATCTTAAATTAGCTAAATAAACTCTAGTGTTTTTTCCAATGGCAAAAAACAAGTTTTTATACAGAAACTAGTGAAATCCAGAGAACATAACAATTTACATAGTTTATGGTTTTAAATGGTTCAAAAACAGATCTATCAATGTGCACTAACGATCAAATGTTATGATTATGACGATTACTGAATAATTAATTTATAACCAAAATGCTGCTATAACTGTAAATTGCTACGGTCTCTTTGATTTTATATATTTATATATATATATATAAATATATATATATATATATATATATATATATATATATATATATATATAATGCAAGTCATGAGGATTGTATATATTTCACTTTCACGTACTGTACACAGAATTTTCATTGATATTTGTTGAACTGATATGAATATTTGCATGCAACACTTTAAGAGATACTATAGTCACCAGAACCACTACAGCCTAATGTAGAGGTCCTAGTGTCTATAGCATGCACATGTAGCCTTAGTGGCAGTTATTCAGATGGCCACTAGAGGTGCTGTGTCAATGCTGCCTCCAACACTCTGCATGGAGGCGCTGAACTTTCCCCAAAGAAATTCATTGCAGAGATTCAATGCAGCTTTATGAGGATATGCCGATTGATGCAGCATTTTGTTGCACATGCACAATAGCTTCCCAATGCTTTCCTGTGAGAAAGTTTATGATCTTTCACTCAGATACAGGAGACTAACCTAGCTTTCAGCTGTACACTATATTATTTAATATATAGATATATTTCTTGTGATCTTTAATATTGAATGAATTAATTGTATGTTTGCAGTGTATGTGATAAAGGGACTTTTCCACATTTGAAATTGATAAATCTTTCTTTCAGAAATACAAATTTTGTGTTTAGGTTAATTCTTTCTTCACATTTTCTTATATTAATGTGAGTTGATTTGATTTATACAAAAAAAGTTTGTTTGAAATCTTATGAGTGCTCCTGTTTTTGGTCATTTGTAATGACACAAGATTTGCGTCTGGGTAGTTACAAAATGAATGGAATTTTCATATAGAATAGATTAATGAATTCATTGTTTATTATTTGTCATGTGATATACAAGTTCCCAAGCATGATCTTGCACACATTCGGATTACACTGTATGGGTTATTCTCAAAAGTGAGAATTCCATTTAAGTTCAATAAAGATGAAATGAAACATTCTAAAAGACCGCTTTGGTTCCAGTTCAGCTACGTTGAACTTAAATTTGAAATTCACTTTGAATTTTCACTTTGCTTAATAAATTCACATCATTATTTACTAATCAATTTGTCACGGACAGTGTCACGCCAAGGCTGCAGAATTCATTGGTGCACTATAGAATATAGCTATTTAGTGTAATTTGTGTAGGGCAAATATGAATTGGCCAGTTGGTAGATGTGATTATAGAGGACAGATTTCAGAAAGGGTTAATTTAAAGTATAGAGTAATGTGATCTGTCAGAATGTTTACAACTCCGGAGCCCCTTTGTAAGTTGTAAATGTCACACAGGAGTTGCCTCTGAGTCACCATCAATATAAACAAACCCTCTTAGATAGTGGGTTCTTTTGATATGATGATGGTCAAGATACTTCTTGTTCCCCAGTATCATCCAAAAGAAACATTAATAATAACCCACAGATTAATAATCATGCCTGATTTTGTACATATTTAGAATGGGACAAGCACATGCTTCAAAACAAGTATAAACATGATTAGCAC